GCTAGTTAGTCCTGTGAATAAAAATTGATTTTCATTATAGTAATTCATTCTTATATGTATTTTTGGTTGCATAAAAATGATAGTTGAATGATTAATTAATCCAGCTAGGTTTTGCAATCTTATTTATTCAAATATTAAGATTTACACTCCCCTTTTTAATGAAATATATAACTAATTAATTATTAATTAATCCCTGATTTAATTATTAGAAGGCTTTTAATCATTTAAATTAACGTCAATCTACAAAGCTGGTTGAATTCCTGGAACTGAAAGCGAATGTTAGCATGAATACAAAAATAGTCGAAATTAAAAATCTCTTTAATAGGCGCTGCTACACGACCAGAATAACATTACGAGGACTATCGCGTTCATCATCTTCCAAAGGTAAGGAAGAAGATGAAGGGGCGGGCTTATGGACCATATTATATTTGAACTGACGTTCTGAAAACTTTTTCACTTCCATCTTCAGAGTTTTGTGGTAGTTGAGTCTGGTGGTCTGGTGATTTTCCTTACCTTTGGGAGATGATGAACGCGATAACATATCTGGAAGCCGAAACTTTCGGAATTTAAATTACGAGGACTAAAATGCGATTCGTGTAAGCTGCGGTGCTCATTATGCGAAAGCCTTCCGAAAATGTTTACACGGTGGAACCAATTTTTACCAGTTTAGTTTGTTTCTGTCATCCTACTGCGAGTAAAAGAGCGTCCATGCGTCAGTTTTTCCTTTGTAACTTTTACAAATTAATAAAGGTGTTTGGCAGATTTGAATAATTCATTTGACCCAGTTGTGCAGAAATCGGCTGCCTCGGTGGGATTCGAAATCACGCCAGCAATATCAGGTCTCTCGGTAGGGGCTTTGTAGCCTAATTTGCTATAACTTTGGTAGTACTAAAACTTTTCCATTGCTGCCGTGGTTTTGAATACCATCGTGGCTTTCAGATCTTTCACAATGGGATCAAATGAAATGCTATAAAACACTACCTAACTACACATGATCGTTTCGTTTTCTCTAAAACTTCCATGTGTCTACTTCGGAACTATGATACCCTTTGTATTTAACATTCATCTAGTACTGTGTCTGGAAATGACTATATTTTTAAAGTTTCGATGACCTAAAATAATTACAAATTCCAAGTATTTGAAAATGATTAAAATTATGCCACATTACAAACGTGTCTACTAGAAGTCTACTACACGAACATTAGGCCTTCGCCTACATTATTTTGTGATTGATTATAGTGCCACAACGAAGAGACTTAGCCGTCAGAACTAAAGTGATGAGAGGGAATCTGAAGGCATTTCAGGCAATCGGGACAAACGTGAGTTTACTACTAACCCCGAAACTGTTTGCATCGTTACAGCTAAGCACTTTACAGAAAATTCAATTCATCTGGGCTAGATCGTCGAGACATGTGGACAACCAATGACAGCAACAACAGATGCTCTTAATTAAATGCATCTCATCAGACAGATGGGTGGATGAAAACGTTCTCAAATTGTACATTATCGCTTGCTTGTAAGCGAGATTGAAGATCACGTCAAGCGTGGCAATCGCAAAACCATCACCTAAACTGTTAATTAATATTCGCATTAGAAAATATTGTTTGAGTGGAGCTGTGACAGCATATTCTCAAGTCACTTGGGTCGCTCCAGGAGGTAGGCTTTTAGAGAATGCCTTCATAAGCCACGTTTTTAAGTATATACCTGAAAAAACTGCATTATTCAGGTAGACAAAACATTTTCGTTTCAACGTATTTTTGAACTTCACCTTCATTTTCACATAAGTCTTGGGTTTTCATCTCAATGATATGTGCCTTTGGGTAAAAAAAATAATTTCTTTTTCAATTCGATTCGGCTGGCAAAGAAAAGGACTAATGAAATTTAAAAATGGATACATATTTTATTAATAATACTAATATTGGACTCTGTTAAGAAGTATATCACAGTCTCAAAGAAGGTATAAATGAAGTGGTTGAAATAAACGGTCACATTTAAAGGGAAGCTTACTTTGATGCTAAGGGCGTATAGGAAAATATTGTACTTTTGTTCTTTAAAGTACACTTTACGTGTAATAACAACGAATATCCCTGCGAAATGTTCAAAGTAATTCACTTGTCATGTCTTGCAGTGAACTGAGAATAAACGCCTTTGTAAGTTTTTAACACCGCTAAATGGCTCTCTCTAACTAAAAAGTGGATTTCAAAATTTCGGTTTGCATTTATATGATACCAAAGGTACTCAACACCAAAATGGCTTGTTGAGTTTGCAATGATCGCAGATAATTTTATGATACGTAAAAGAGGAGTTAACCAATAAGTATAGATTTTTATTACTGAACTAGCACCAGTAAAATTGAAAGTGTGTTTTACAAAATAGTAAACATTGATAAACTTTAATCAAGGAAAATAAATAATAAAAAGTAAAACGAAAAGCAAATGCATTAGACAGTTGTATAAACGTCAATGAAAGGAGTAGGGTAAATTGAACACACCCAGACGAAACGGTTTAATATATTAGTTTTTTAGGGTTATAAGGTTCATTACAAAATGTGTTTCGGGTATTAACCGTTCGCCGATATTTTAATTAAACAATTGAATATCTTTTTGATGAATACTCCGGGGGAAGCAGACATGGTCCACATCTCCAAATTGTTCATTAAAAAGTAAAGCGCTGCACACGAAAATTTGAACCACGTAATACAGCGAAAAATAAACAGACAGTATTATTTTAAATTCTGGAAGTTAAAAGTGAAAATTTCACCGTGATATTGTTTAAGATTAGCTTTTGAGTAAGCGTTATGGCCAAAGCTTGAGTTATGTCTTCGACGAAGATGGAGGTTTCTGTGCCCAGTTCTATCGATCCTTGAACACTGCCATACAAAGTTTACTGAGAAGAAGATTAAGGTTTTGGTAAGAATGGGTTTTATTACCTCCATCCAGGGCATGAAATACAAACCCTATGCAGTTTAAGCGGAGGCCCTTGTAATACATGTCAGGAAGGGTATATGTACCCCTGTCCTAACCCTAACCTGATAATAAACTTTAACCCTAAACTCCACCTTAACTTACCCTAGTGCTAACTTTAACCCTAAGTATAAAATAATGCCTACTTTCTCTGGAATTTGGCCCAAAGATACCTGTGATACGGATGCTTACTGTTCTGATGTCCTCTATAAGAAGGCATTTGAGTCGTCTTTAATTTTCTTTACCATTTTCAATTCATTCAAAACCGTATGTTAGTAGACAAATCTTTGGCCCAGTCGTTTTTTCCGGTTTATAAATGCCCGGCAACCTTTCATACATTTTTTCCGCACACAAAATATCTCATCTATCTCATCAGAAGGGAAAAATATTAGCATATGTGTTTAATGCAACTTCTATACAGTCTGTAGTAACTAACGGGTAAAGTGGGTTTCGCATGAGAGGTCATCTCTTCTATGTCAGAACGATGTTTTAGTTTCGTCTGTCATCCATACCGATCGATAGCCTATTGCCGTCATTTCTTCCGTATCTCAAAAAGTCGATGTCAAATCGATTTTAATTTGCTTTTAGGAACGGTGTTTGAATTTTATGTACATGCAGATGTAGCTCATTCATAAATATGAAATAATCCCAAAAAACGGGGAAAGGTAATATTTTACTGCTTTACGCTGATAGTTGCTGCTGTGTGGGGCACAGAAGATGAAGTCTTTCAAGTATCGATCAACTGCATGATTGACGCACCATGGACCCATAAACCATCAGTTAATACTGATTGTTGTACCTGTTGCAGATCCTCAAAACATACATGTAAAATAAGTTGTGCTTTCGTACATCAACATATATTACTCAATTTAAGAATTTATGATTCATTGCTATGAAATGAGTACCCGCAAATATCCATTATTTTCTTATTTCTAATAAAAACAATCTTTCGAATTTGGCGGATTTCGCTCAGAACATGGTTGCGAACATTTCGGACATGCCGGGCATTGAACCCAGGGCGTCTCGCAGGCAAAGCGAGTGCTCTACCACTGAGCTAAATCCCTACTGCCTCACCATCTTGAGGTTATCTACTTAAGCGTGACGCAAGGCCCGCCAGCTTGTGCATATAACGTGGTCACACCGCTCAACTTTCATATAGCTTTGCAATACATAACAGGAAGCGTACACTGTACCCTACCCTAACCGTAAAACAAGCGTTAACCGTAACCCTAGGTTTAATACTAGCGCTCACTTTAACAGTAAGTCGAACCATATAAACAGTAATAACCGAAATTTTTATATATACGGACTCGCTATGACAAACGAATTCGTGTAGATTGCATGATCCAGCATGACGATAAATAATCAATATAGGAAAAAAAGCGATGACGTGAACAAACACCGGGATGTAAAACATTGCTTTACAAGGCGTCGTCCATTTTATCTGATTTGCTGCGCAATTTGTAAATACTTGTACTAATTTAACTTTGCGTAACGAATTACTCCATTAATTTAAACACTCGGACTGTGTTTTACTTACTGTTATCTACAACGAATATAAGCTTACGAATGTTTTTGAATTCAGGAGAAATTATGTATTTGTGAAAAGAAACGAAGTGTTTATGCTCGTTTCAACCAAAAAAAACTTCCCGTGAAATGATCTGGCTTAAAAGTAAACAGTTTAGCGCGCCTCGATAAGTTGTGAAAGTGGGTCAGAATCCTCCGCAATATGATAACAAGGACTAATTTATTTAAAAAAATATATTTTGGCCCCACTTCATACGGTCTTTAACGAGGAATGACTCGGGACATAAAAACGTGGTCTTACATTTTATTGGTCGCGTGCAGACCAATGAAAATTCGGCATGCCTAGCGCAAAGTATCTATTTCTAATGATTGGCTAGTTCTCAACAAAATGTCAGCTTCTTAAAGATGCAATAAATTACGTCTGATTCAAATGGTGCTTACAGCGATCAGTATTAAGGATAAATATTTAAATACCCGGAAATAAGTCTTCGAGTTTGAAACCTCCTCCTTATGTCACTACGCAGTGGCTTCCGTGGGTCAGACAAAAAGGCGTCGCCAGTAGACAGTCCCACTGACTATAAAGCTGAGACAGACACCAGTCCTCTGAATTCGACGCCCACCGATAAGCGCCAAGCAGCCGACAACGTGGATCCAGTCTTCGCTGGTCAGCCCGCCTCTAAGAGGAGTCGCAAACGAAATGGGGACGTCTGTTCCTGCCGCGAAGCCTTCTATCTCTTCTGTTCATGCACCACAGTTCGTGGGATGTGCAAACTCAGCAAAGGACCTCGCTTTTTGCGCTCGGCCTGGTCAGTCTTTGTAGTCTGTACCACCTGTCTCCTTATTGTCTCTGTCATCCTGCTCATTCTTGACTTTCTCAACTACGACGTTGGAGTACACACACGTCTTCTCCTCGATGATCCCTCCCCGTTTCCGGCCATCACGGTTTGTCATCATTACCCCTTTTCAAACGAGGCCCGGCGTTTGTGGAAGGAGGGCACGATACTTTCGCCGGGGCGTTTTAACCGGTACCTACGCAATCTCACCCTGGGTTATCTGTTGGAAAATGATGTCTCAGCTGCAGAGGCCATATCCTTTTATGACAGTTTAAGCGTGTACTACCAGAACCTGGACCCGGCTGATGCAAAGAGACTGGGCCACAGCTATGACATCTTTCTGAACTGCATGCGAGTGGGGTCACATGTGAGTTACTTTGAGGACGACTGTAATACGCTAAATGGCTACCGCATTCGACAATTCTCGCATCATCAGTACCTTAACTGTCATACTTTTGAGCCAACAGATTTAGCTGGCTCAGAGGAGACTACTTTTCTCAGCCTCATCATCGGCATGGGTCCAAAGGAGAGTAGCGAAGACGACGAGCAGGCCTTTCTGCCTGATGTTTTCGAACAGGCCAAAGGTCTCCGAGTGGTAGTTCACGAACCGGGCACCTATCCAGATTTGGAAAAATTCGGTTTGCACGCAGAACCGGGCAAACTCAATGAAATCGGCTATGAACCCCGACGGTGGACCAAGAAGAACACACCCAGGCGACCCTGTCAAACTTTTAACGCTTCTCGGGGCTACTTGGATCTCGATCAATGGTATACTTACACTCACGAGCAGTGCCTGCTTCTCTATCAACAGAAGGAGATTATTGAGGAGTGTGGGTGCCATTATGTCATGAATCCACGACCATCATCTCCTTCTAATATGACACCCTACTGCGGTCGGATGTGGCCAAACTTGGACATTAATATTTTTACCAAAAGGCTGGACTGTCTTAGACGCAAACTGGACATCAGTGTGAAACGCAAGTACGACGGTACTGTCTGTCTTCCACGTTGCGAGTACTATACCTATGATACGACCATTTCTATCACAAAATGGCGAGCTAAAATCTGGAATCTGTACTGGTTACGAGTGCAGAATCGTGCAGTGCGACTGGCGGAAGACTTTGTTAAGAAGCATCCCAACCGAAGTATAACAGAATCGGTTGGCTACAAAATGTGGCGCAACTATCTGGTACAAGAGGATCTTCAAAATATTCCTGAAGAGGCCCGGCTAAATGAGTCTGTACGGCCAGATCATATCGTACCCCTACTGTCAGACAGTATGAGCCGATTTCACCTGGACAATGAAAGTTTTGCCTACATAATTCTCAAACGCAAGTCTCCCAACACGATAGACAACACGGAGAAGCTTGTGCTTACACTCAACGTCTTAGCCTCTCGCATAGGCGGTCTCTGTTCTGTGACTATAGGCATAACTGCAGCCTTCGTCATCGAGGTGGTTGAGTTTATCTACCTGCTGATTCAGAGAAGAAGAGCAGGAGAAGTGACCGCTGCCGGAGAATTCCAGAAGAACGAAGAGCAAGAAGTGCACAGAGAGGAAGAGGAGGAAGCGGTAGCAATGGGAAAGGACCCCTCTAGACTTGTCTGGGAAAATGGACAAGCTATGGAGTTGGAACCGCAATTCCCCGATAAACGGGACTTAGGCTAGCAGTAGCTGCACCATCGATCTCCACGACCCCACAAATGTTTCCACTTAACAACAGACACCAGGTCAGATTATTGCAGTTCATTTTGAATCATATTTTCGAGAAAAAACAACTGATGCTGCCCTAATTTCCGTGTCGCGTTCTTCCCCACGCCGTCTAGTCTCTCTTTGCATGTGTGCGTGTGTGTGTCTGCGGGGAAGTACTCAGATCCGATGAAGCAAGCACTGTTTTGTACAAAATTTTGTTGCCCCGTTTGTTTTTCCAGACAGATTCGCTTACGCCCCCGCCCGCGCCTCCTCCCCCAGTCATATTTATGCTGATCATGTTTTGTTTTAGCAAACCACTTTTCATACAATAAGCCAAAATTATTAAACGGACCAAATGTCATGCGCGGAGGTCTTGTTTTCAATTAGTAGTGCTGAGTCTGCTAACGTTTTTATGAGATGAAGGGAAGAAAATGAATGCACAGCTTCATCTCAGCGTAGTTTTGGTTAAAAAATACTATTATTCGTCATAAGTAGGGTAAAAACGGAAAACTTACATATAAGGTGTCCAGAAAACTAGAAAAGGAAGCTAAGAACACAAGTTACGGTAAGCTAGATACTTAGACCCCTATGCTACACCTCCTACAATTAATCATAGCCAATCTAACTCTTTATCCATTGTTTAAATTTCAACGCCTGACAACAACACCAGTGGGCTTTTGTTTGTAAAGAATTGACGATGTTCCCAAGTTACTTCTGGCGTGGATAACACACAGGGCCGTAAATGTGGATATTCCTTATCATTCATACTTACATGCAAGCTCTACTACAGTATTTTGGGTAAGACAATCTGAAACGGTGATTTTTTTACTCATACACGTACATTTATAGTCCATTTTTAAAATTAGGCCCAAAATGTTTACTAGGAGAGAGGCCTTTGTATGATGCCTCGCTCCATGCGAATAGCGCCTAACATGAACTTTAATCATTTTCAGACTGATAAGCCGGTCTTGCGTTCCCTACTTTGCCCGAATATTTCATTGTCAGGCACCGTTGGCAGAGCAATGAGTAGCAAATTCGAAAGAAAATAAATTGGAATGAAAAAAGGTTTTCGATTAATACAGAACTGAAAATCATTTTGAATTGAGTGACAACCAACCACCTGCACCCGATCCTGCCTCCGGTATCCTTGACTGTATCTTAACTCTGAGGCCAGGTGGATGAGGGAAAAGAGAGCGTGGTAAATGCTGGGCAAGTCTACTATAACTTAAAACTAATCCATGCGCAAGTACGTCCCTGCACCAGCCGGGGTTGGAGCATACGTAATGCATTCTCGAAATCGATATTCGAGCTGTTGCTTACGTCCCAATATGATGGATGTTAACATTTACCACGTCGTAAAATATTTACAAAGGTTACTTTATATGTCTTGGATACTGGCAGATAAGAATGTCATCCTTCTATAATTCGTCCGTTAATTTTTTAGTTTTGCGAGAACGACTAGGTACTGGATTAAATCGTCCTTCACCTTTTAAGATGTGCACTAAACCAATTCAGATGCTTTTGAAATGCAAGTCGCAAAGTGGTATTATGCTCCGCATCCAGATAACTCCTTCCTCAACATTATCCCTGCATAACACTGCGAGCTTTATGAGACCAGTAGATTGATACTTGCAAGGAACTCCGGCCTATAAAATACAATGCTGCTTTTTATTTTCATTGCTACGGACTATTTCCATCGGTCCTCACGAAACGCGCCGAAATCCAAAAAAGTCGTATGCAGTTAAGAAACGGTATAGCACTCAGCATACAAAATTTACAAAGAAAAATTAATTGTAATAAGTAAAAATAAATACCAAGCAGTATGCACTAAAGCAGCAAAAATTTGGAGAGAAGCGGAAGCGTAGGGGAAAACCAATTGAGATTTGCCAGCAAATAAAAAACTTTTATTCCAAAGAAATAAATAAGTATTTAAGGGGACACTCAGGGAGAGGGCTTCTTCGCATGCATAAATGAGTACTACTTTAGCACGACATAGCAGCTAAAATAACATATAATTATAACTAGGGCAATTGATGATTCCTATATCACTTACTATTAAGCAAAACAAGTCGCAAGTAATTTTTTACATATTAAAAAATGGATATATAATTAGTGCCTAAATGGATTTCTGCATAAAATAACTTAGCTTATAAAACAAATAAACTATTTTTGTTGTCATGCAATAAAAGTATACATTTTACATTTTTTCTATGAATAATTAAGAAATAAAACGGTTTCTGATAGTAGAAACCGTTGACGAGAGCTCCCGTTTGTGTTAATTTTGTAAGCGCTTAATATTCAGCAGACAATAGTTTGGTGCTAGTGCATATGCTTAAAAAACTCAGCATATAGGTATCATAAAGACTCACACTTGTCACAGTTTAAGCGCTCAAGACCTGGACTTAATAGAAATACTTCGTGAACTAAATGCGCTTCGTTAGCAAAATGCGCCATCCATAGCGCGAAAATTAACAATAATCGTTATACTTATCTGTTAAAACTAAATATAAGGAGTGAGTATCACATCCTGTGAAGTGTTCAAAAACATGTATTAATGTGTTCGTTCCTTAGGTTGATTTTCTTTATTTTTAAACTCTATTCTCTGCTTTAATTCAAAAAAATATATTCTAAGAAATGTTTGCATCGGTATTTCTAATTAGTACTCGCGCTTAAGACGCATAGCATAACTAAAAGGGACGTTCTCTGTTTACGAATCCGTTCTATCTAAACCGCATTTCATACGGCACGGGTAATCTCAGTTTGCGTCGAGACTGTTTAAAATTAGCCTCTCTTTTAAACCCCCAACTCGGGGGAAAATGCTCACAACTTTTGCGAATTTAAATTTCTATGACCTTGCCCTCCTTGACTGCTAGCCAACGCTTCACTATGCAGGTGGACTAAACTGATCCGCTTAAACAGGGCGACTAACTTACAAAAATCGGGATGTATCTGCACTCGAGAAAGTAGTTATTAAATACCGTGCATAAATAATTAGGAATATCCGTTTTCATGGCAAACCACCGTATCTTAAATAAGAAATCAAATCCGAATATTTGTTTTCCAAATAAACGAATAGTCGTTATGCCAGGCTGGATATAAAGCGAGGTGTCACTTTCGATATCTTATCTTTGAAAAATCGTAGCATTAACATTTAATTATATATTTAAAGAGGTGGCCACTGTTAGTGACCAATGAAGCTCAAATCTGGGAGCTGGGAAGGTCAGCCTGCTCTCTAAGAGCAAGATCAGACTTTCTACTCGTTATTTAGTTAGTAAGCTCATAAATATATTTCGAAAATAATGTTCAGTAGCCAAACTCACAGTATAATTTTGCAGTCGATCATATAATACGTTCGAAGCAATCAACGTAAAACAGATTACTGGGTATTTTTTCCGATTATGCTGAGGGTGACTTTCAGTATCATGTTCATCTAGAATAGACGTGTAACATGTTAAAAGTCTATGTCTGTGCGCACTATACTTATCAGTCATTACTTTGATGACTTAAGCCTTGGAAAATCAGTAAATATCGCAAAAACTCATGCCCTCTTCTCCACGTTTTCCCGACATCAGAAATGGTATAACGCCATCCTACCACTTAATATTAAGTCCAATTTTCTGAAATGTAAAATAGTAATGGTGACCTGTTCTACACAAATTATCTTTGAGAGATAGATACAAACTACGGTTAATGGAATGGCCTAGGTCTAATAGATCCGCATTTTGTCTCATCATTATAGTTTGAGTGCAGTTCTAAAAAAGGTCGCCTTGCATTTCAAGAGTTTTACACACGTAGGAAAAAAATTTTCCTATAGAATGTTTCAAAGTTGAAAATACAGTGGGAGGGCAATCTTGCGAAATCCAAGGATTTTTAAAAGAAAAACGCTGTTACGCAAACGCACCTCGCGTTGCATCCCCCAAAGTTATAAATCAATAAGATACGGATCATTTGTCAAAATGAAACTTACTGCGGTTTATCAGGTAACATTACATTGTTTAGAAATACGGGATTCTTCGGAAAAGCAGAAAAAAAGTGAAAAGCGAGCGTATTAGGTAAACGTTGGTTTAAAATTTAGAGAATGCCTGTTTATGCAACACAAGCGAGTAAAAAAAGCAGCAAAAATAGAATTTTGTTGGAAAATAACCGTTTTGTAAAGTTTTCAGATGCATATGCTACCATATTGCGCGCAATGTAACATATTTCTCTCACCGAACAGCCCCAATTTTGAGTATTATTTTGCTTTGCTTTTGCGATAATTGCAAGTTTTTTCTACCTTTTATGAGTTGCTGGATGTACGGTAGACGAAGCTAACCAGATTTTTGCTTGAATACGCTGATTGAACGGTCAGAGGAGTAAAATATTTCGTAGGCTCATGTGTGGACATACCGGTCAGAGACTAATATATTTAAATGGAATCATCAGGTGCCATCGTAAACGTAAACACACTAAGAGAACATTCCTTACGTCAGATTTCTTTGTAATTATTTCGGGATTTTGACAAAAACAAAGTCAAGATCGTTCTTGAAATGGTGTTTATCAGTTTACGATTTCCATTATTTTCAGTCGATGGTCCAAATAAGGATTATGTTCTGCGTGCTTACCAAAACCTTCAAAATAGGGGACTTTTTAAAGGCACTGACCTAAGCAGTAAGTTTTTTGTGTATTCCTTATAATGTATCTGCCTGTTTGGGTCACAGTTTTATAATCACTCAAAGATGTCAACTCATTACCCAAAAATATGAACATCCGCAACGAAAATCAGATATAAATATGTCCAAGAGGATTTAGACGGATTTCAAAAGTAGTGCTTTAATAGGTTATTTCGGCGTCACATCTCTGTGTAAATAACCTTTTTCGAAGGCTAAGTCAAGATAAAAAGTCAAATTGTGAGCGATGTTGTGCTTTTTCAGAGCGTTAGAATATATCATATGCGAAAATTGAAAGGACTTGCTTTTTCGTGCATACTGGAGCACTTT